TAATTTTTTTTTTTTCAACACTTATTTATTTTTCGGACAGAGAGAGACAGAGCATGAACGGGGGAGGGGCAGAGAGAGAGGGAGACACACAGAATCGGAAACGGGCTCCAGGCTCCGAGCCGTCAGCCCAGAGCCCGACGCGGGGCTCGAACTCGCGGACCGCGAGATCGTGACCTGGCTGAAGTCGGACGCTCAACCGACTGCGCCACCCAGGCGCCCCCGAGCCCTTATTTTAGATGCAACTCCGTGTGCTGAGTTTGATCCCCACAGAAAGCCCAGGGTGGGGGAATTGGTATCCACATCTTGCACAAGAGGAAAGAGAGGCTCAGAGAGATAAGGCAACTTGCCAGGGGGCCTGGTCAGAATCACAAACCTGGGTCTACCCATGTTCTTCCTATGGTACTAGCCTAGCAGGACCCTTCAGAAACTGCTCTTGAGACCCTGCCTTTATCCCACCATCTCCTCTGCTCCCAGATGCTACTTGTTCCTAATCAGCAGGTGCATTTCACAGGTAACAATAGCTGTGCTCCCTACGAGCCAGCTTCTTTTCTAAAGGTTGTACATGCATGGACCCTTATTCTCATTGACATGTGAAGTCATCCACCTTCCGTAGATGAGAAACTGAAGCACAGACAGGTCACGTGACTGCCCAGGGACCACAGAGACGGTCAGTAGCAGCGTAAGGATCAGGAAAGTACGAAGGAAAGGGAACAGTGCTGTCTAGATGAGAGTTTCCCTTCCAGGAGGCAGGTTCATTTTATTTTTTTTTTATTTTATTTTTTTTTATTTTATTTATTTTTTTTATTTATTTTTCGGACAGAGAGAGACAGAGCATGAACGGGGGAGGGGCAGAGAGAGAGGGAGACACACAGAATCGGAAACGGGCTCCAGGCTCCGAGCCGTCAGCCCAGAGCCCGACGCGGGGCTCGAACTCGCGGACCGCGAGATCGTGACCTGGCTGAAGTCGGACGCTCAACCGACTGCGCCACCCAGGCGCCCCCGAGCCCTTATTTTAGATGCAACTCCGTGTGCTGAGTTTGATCCCCACAGAAAGCCCAGGGTGGGGGAATTGGTATCCACATCTTGCACAAGAGGAAAGAGAGGCTCAGAGAGATAAGGCAACTTGCCAGGGGGCCTGGTCAGAATCACAAACCTGGGTCTACCCATGTTCTTCCTATGGTACTAGCCTAGCAGGACCCTTCAGAAACTGCTCTTGAGACCCTGCCTTTATCCCACCATCTCCTCTGCTCCCAGATGCTACTTGTTCCTAATCAGCAGGTGCATTTCACAGGTAACAATAGCTGTGCTCCCTACGAGCCAGCTTCTTTTCTAAAGGTTGTACATGCATGGACCCTTATTCTCATTGACATGTGAAGTCATCCACCTTCCGTAGATGAGAAACTGAAGCACAGACAGGTCACGTGACTGCCCAGGGACCACAGAGACGGTCAGTAGCAGCGTAAGGATCAGGAAAGTACGAAGGAAAGGGAACAGTGCTGTCTAGATGAGAGTTTCCCTTCCAGGAGGCAGGTTCATTTTATTTTTTTTTTATTTTATTTTTTTTTATTTTATTTATTTTTTTTATTTATTTTTGGGACAGAGAGAGACAGAGCATGAACGGGGGAGGGACAGAGAGAGAGGGAGACACAGAATCGGAAACAGGCTCCAGGCTCCGAGCCATCAGCCCAGAGCCTGACGCGGGGCTCGAACTCACGGACCGTGAGATCGTGACCTGGCTGAAGCCGGACGCTTAACCGACTGCGCCACCCAGGCGCCCCGGCAGGTTCATTTTAAAAGAGGAACTTGCAGCCCCGATGCCATGGTGTGCTGGTAAGTGTCACAAGCAGCTCTGTGGGGCCGGGGTCCTGATTTGCACACTGATCTGCGCATATAGACGTTCTTACCATGGCTTGTTGCCTGCTAGTGGTGATGTTGCTAATGCTAAGGTGGGAAGAGATGCTAAGAGCTTGAGAGCCTATGGGCTCCAGCACCCTGCTGAAGGCATCTTTAGTGGGTGGTGTGTGTGAAGGACTAAGCTTCCTGACCTGCTCTTTAACCAGTCTCCTACTTAATATGTGTCAGACATAAATAGCTTTTCTTCAATCATTAGTTTTTACTGGGGACACTTGCTTTGTCAGCATTAAGGAATCTTTCTTCACCTAAACTCCCCTTCAGTTCCCCCTACCCCCGCCATCCATGTCCCATTTCTCCTCCACTGTTTTCCTAATCACTGCTTGCTCTCCCTTCCCCGCTGTGCCACCCCTACTTTGGGACTAACTCTCTGGTTGAGAAGCAGTGTAGCAGGGTCAGGGAAGGAGCAAACTCTGCAGTCTGACTGCTAGGTTTGAATCCCAGCTCTCCTTTACTAGCTGTGTGACCTTGGGCAAGTTACTCACCCTCTCTGAGCTTCAGCTCATCTGTAAAGTGGGGATAATAATTACACCTACTGCATAATGGAAAGCCCTCGGTACTGTAGCCTTTAAAGTGTTAGCCCCTCTTAGTATTATTTACTCCTGGGTGTCCTCACGCTATCTGAGCAGTCCCTCTTTCCCCCTCCCTGTCCCTGTCCCTTTGGTGCCATAAAAAAGCCAGACCTCTGCCCTCTACAACTATCCTGTTGTCTTATTTGGTTTCCTGTGAGTAGCTATGAGGCCATGAGGTCACCCCTCGTCTCACTGCCTGCCTCTCCCTACCCTCCCAGCCATCCCCACTCCCCACATGCGTCAGCTTATTTCCCTTAATGGAAGTGGCAGGCCCCTTGCTTTCATGATAAGGAGAGTGTGGAGAATATAGGCTTTCCGGAGGCTGAGAGCTGCTTAGCTATGTTGTTTTCCTTGTACCCGCCTCACCTTTTGGGACTTGGTGACTTCTGCCCTGGCCTTTTTATTTATTTATTTCTATTTTATTATTATTATTTTTTAATGTTTATTTCTGAGAGAGACAGTGACAGAGCGTGAGCAGGGGAGGGGCAGAGAGAGAGAGAGAAAGAGAAAGAGAGAGAGGTAGACACAGAATCTGAAGCAGGCTCCAGGCTCTGAGCTGGGCTCGAACCCCTGAACTGTGAGATCATGACCTGAGTCAAAGTCGGGCGCTTAATCAACTGAGCCACCCAGGTGCCCCCACTTTGGTTTCCTTTTTAGAGTGGAGCTGAGGATAAGTGCTTTTCTTTCTTTTTTCTTAAAAAGAAATCTTATTATAGCTCATAAATATATTTGGGGACCAAAGAAAAAAAGGTTAAAAATGCCCCTTGGCTACATTGTAAATGTGGAATATGTGGAACTGGCCAGGGCAAGCTGGAATTTGCTATAGTCCGTACCTTTATGCGAGTCTCCTGGTAGCTTTTCTGTTGGCTCCATCCCAGACCTGGCCCATGAGAGGGAGAAGACCAGAGATGAGGCAGAGATAGCTAACTCGATATTATTTCTCTAATCCTCCGGTACATTCTTTTTTTCCACCAGCAAAAAAACAGAGTTTGGTTCCTCCTTTCCCTGGATCGAATGTGAAGAGTTACGCTGGCTACATCACTGTCAATAAGACCTACAACAGCAACATTTTCTTCTGGTTCTTTCCAGCTCAGGTAGGCCTGCGAGAGCGCTCTATCAGGACACTAACCCTCAGGAGCTGAGAATGCTCCCTAGCGCAGAAATGTTAGCCTAGGAAACCATACTTTAAAAAAAAAAAAAAAAAAAAAAAAAAAAAACAAAAAACTTTTTTTTTTTGCATCTTTTAGATTTTTTTTCTAAAAATAAGCGCCAGTGACTCCGTGTGGTGTTCCTGTTTATGTGCAGGAAACAAATGTTTGCAGGCAAGGTCCAGCTCTTAAATTCCTTGCAGCCTTATTCAGAATATTAATATTACCACCCTCTTCCTGCCACCATCTTCTTAAATCATTCTGTCGTTGTTTTGTTCTAAAAATACCTTGGGCAAGGCTGGGCCGGTGGGGAGCCGAAGAATGATAAGGGATGGGGAGATTCCCGAAATATATAGGCGTGATACATGTCGAAAGGTAGTTGATTGTGGACTTCTGTGGCTGCTCTGTCCTCTGTCCCCGTGGGCTTTGCAGTGCCAGCTCTTATTTTTGCGCCGCCTCCTTCATGCATCCGGTATCCATTAACTGAGTGCTACTCCATGGGAACATGGAAGAGAGAACTAAACTTATGATGGGGCTTTGGGGGAGCAGTGGGAAAGCAGTGCTAATCTAGGATGGCTTCCAGAAGGCGAATCACTTACCTTCTCAGGTCCATACACACAGCTGGATACATTCTTGTACTTTACCAGTCTTGACTTAGCGCACCCAGGTGCACGCACACACATACGTGCATGTCACACAGCTCTTCAGCATGAACAAACCACTTTGCCTTACGGGTACTGTTGGGCAGAATTGGTAGAGGTGCTGAGCTGCATAAATAAATTGTATCCCACCCCAGGATAATTTTCTGTTTTCATTTTCCAAATTGGATTTGGTTTAGAAGCCAGAGAAAACAAAGAAAAAGCTATCCCTGCAGAGGGTTGTATTTATATTTGCATGTGATTTGCATATCGTCGTGTTGCATCTAGAAAATTGTTTAATCTCGGATAGTTTTCAAATCAAATTGCCTTTGTTGGTACTGTTGGGTTGGCTTTTCTTGACTTCTCATTTCTGCCTTCCCAACCATGGCTTCTGACATAGTTGGCCGCATAGCCAACTATGTGAATGGGAGGAAACATATTAGAATTGGTGAAGAATTCCAGATGCTTTTTGGTTGGGCTCATAGTAGTGTTCAGACTGTCGCCTACTCCAGGAAGACTTTCCCGAACCCTGGAGAGTTTCTTAGTTCTTCCTTGATGTTATTGTTGAGTGCGCAGATGGGGTGCTTACTGCACGAAATTGAAGGAGAGACTTGCCCTCAGGGTTATATAGGTGCCATGCTGGCACCCAAGTGTCCCCCAGACTCCTGCTGCCACCTCCCGTTGGTGGAATCCAACTGGAAACCAGAGGTGAGGGGTGGGGGAGTCCAGTTCTAGAGGTCTGTCTACCAGGGCACAGAACAGAGTAGAGAATGCAATAGAGAAGCAATGAGGAAAACATCCAAATACTCAATACAACTGTCCTAAAGAGAATTGGTGTACATTAAGCCTACCAATAAGACCTAATTCTAACAGGTGGACATTTTTCTCGTGTTCTTGGAAATCTCTTCAACTTTATGCCTTCCGGAAACCATATGATACATGTGCAGTTTTGATATCACACCTTTCAATATCCTTGAATGGAGGCATTTATCATGAACCCCTTTGTATTAGTTCTCTATTGCTCTTGTACAAATTACCACAAACTTAGTGGTTTAAACAACACAGATTTATTAGTTCACAGGTCTGTAGGTCAGAAGTCTGACATAGGTCTCACTGGCTAAAATCAAGGTGTCAGCGGGGCTGTGATCCTTCTGGAGGCTCTCGGGGGGGATCTCTTTCCCTGCCTTTTGCATTTTCTGGAGGCTGCTCACATTCCTTGCCTCATGGCTCCTTCTTCCATCTTTACAGCCTGTGTCAGTGGGCTGAATCCTTCTCACGTTGCATCACTCTGGCCTACTCCATGGTCACATGACCGTCTCTGACTCTTGTCTTCTGCTGCCCTCTTTTACATTTAAGGACCCTTGTGATTGCATTGGGCCCACGGGATAACCCAGGATGATTTCCCCCATTTTAAAGCCAGTTGAGGGGCGCCTGGGTGGCGCAGTCGGTTAAGCGTCCGACTTCAGCCAGGTCACGATCTCGCAGTCCGTGAGTTCGAGCCCCGCGTCAGGCTCTGGGCTGATGGCTCAGAGCCTGGAGCCTGTTTCCGATTCTGTGTCTCCGTCTCTCTCTGCCCCTCCCCCGTTCATGCTCTGTCTCTCTCTGTCCCAAAAATAAATAAACATTGAAAAAAAAAAAATTTAAAGCCAGTTGACTGGCAACCTAATCCCATCAGCTACCTTAATTCCCTGTTACCATGTGGCTTAACCTATTTACAGGATATAGGGATATGGATGTGGATACCTTTGAGAGCCATTGTCCTTTTACCAGAAAGAAACACCTTGCACAGCTAAAATGGTGTGGACGGAGGTGTAGTGTTGCCCCACGTACCCACTTGGGGGAGGGCTGGAATGGGGGCCTGAAGACGCGAGTGTAGCCTATGGGGTCACCTTTCCTAATCCCGCTCAGTATTCCTCTGAGGCCTGCGGGGGGTGGGGGGGGGCTCCACCTCCCCCTCTGCGCTCTCTGCCTCCTTTAGCTCCGAGAAACCCCATTTCCTACTTTCTCTTCTGCTTGGGTGGCTGTTTCTGATAGCAGTAAGTTCCCCACTGACATCTGCATGTTGAGTCTCCAATAGTAATAATCCAGATTTGTGAAAACAGGAATTAATGGGGTGGGGGGGGGAGAGAGTGGTCCACTGAAAACAAAACAAAGACTCAGTCATTTCTTTCTGAGGTGGCCTCTGAGCAGGTGTACAGAATTATCTAGAATAGAGGTGGTGCTCCAGGACTGGAAAGCCGGTCAAGGAAATGGGCCTAGACCCTGCATCCTCTCCTGGTTGCCAGACCGAGATCTGAACCCCCGCTGCATTAAACAGTGACGGGGCTGTTAGGGGCCCCCCTTAATTCAATGAAGACCTAGCGATGCATCCGCTGGCCAGATTATGCTCTTTTGGGCCCAGGACTGTAGCCCTCAACACATTCTTAGATGAACCCAAAAGACATAAACTCAAGGCCGCCACACGGGAAAAAGATGTTAGAGCACAGCGTGTTCTATTGGAAGTGATAGGCTCAGCTTCAGGGGGGAAACAGGCAGGGATGAAAGGCTGACAATTGTCACCATGTGGCAGCCAGGATAGATTTTTCTGCGACCTCCTTACCCAGGGAGGCCACATGCAGAGCTGGCATCTGAGGCCCCCAAGCAACCATTCTTGCCAAGCCAGTCAGGCTGTAAATTATGGAACAGGCCATATCTCCTTCTTGGGTGTAGAAGATAAAGCATGTGAGAAGGAGAAGCGGTCGTCACCGAGATGGGGGAGAGTTCCTCTCATTTGGCAGAAATATCCATTCATTGCCTGTCACGGGGAGGCAGCCGATACTCATCAGGAGAGAAATGACCCTTTACAAAAATTGAAGGTGGAGAAAATAAGACACTCAGGAAGGATGCTGCACTTGTAATATCCTCTGAGTATTTTTTTTTGGGGGGGGGATGCTGTTTCTCAAATTAGTTTTGTTTTCCTGTTATTTCTGTGAGACTCCCCTGTTATTGTATACAAATCAGTGCATAATGGATTCCAGAGCTGGAAATTTTTTGTTGTGTAGCCGGGAGGCAATCTGCAAGAGAAATAATAGGCATTTTCCGTGGGATAAAAAGTATAATGAAGCCAATAAAAATGTAACAATTGTAATGGCTTTTGTTAATTGAACATTAACTAGGTACAAAACACCGTGCATATTCTTATTTAATCCTTATGAGCACCACATGGGGAAGGAATTGTTATCCTTGTTTAATAGATGAAGAGAATTACAGGGTAAATAATTAGCCCCAAGTTGACCAACTAGAGATTGGCAGAACTTGAATTTAAAACTAGGTCTCTGATAGAGAAATCTTTGCTCTTGATCGCTGTGTGTTGGTCCTGAGAATCAACTAGCCATGGAAGGTGCTAGACTGTGGTCATTAGCATTATAGCTCTTGAGTTAGTCAAGCTTGCGTAAAATCTTGGCTCCACTACTTATGCCAGATGTGAGGATCACAGTACCTACTTGATGATGATTTTGAGACAAATGAGAGAATGTGGGAAAACCTTAGATTCGTGCCTGATACATAGGAAGTAGTGTTGCTATTCTTATTATTTCATAATTATCATCAGTATTATCATCAGTATCATTAGTTTTCCTATTATTAACACAAATACTGTATATAAAAAGTATAATGAAGCTTAGTTCTTAAGCCAATCACAATGCGGGATGTTAAAGAAGACAGGAAATGGGGGGGCGCCTGGGTGGCGCAGTCGGTTAAGCGTCCGACTTCAGCCAGGTCATGATCTTGCGGTCCGTGAGTTCGAGCCCCGCGTCGGGCTCTGGGCTGATGGCTCAGAGCCTGGAGCCTGTTTCCGATTCTGTGTCTCCCTCTCTCTCTGCCCCTCCCCCATTCATGCTCTGTCTCTCTCTGTCCCAAAAATAAATAAACGTTGAAAAAAAAAAAATTTAAGAAGACAGGAAATGGGCCATTCCAAATTGGAAGTCCCTGAATGCCAGCGAAGAATGCAAATTAATTGTTGGGGGGGGGGGGGTTTAATACATTACAAAGTGAAACTGGGTTTTCCACATTTAAGAAGATAAAAAGGCAGAAGATTATTATTTTTAAAATTAGAATTCTTCCCATTGGAGAAAGATACCCAGTATTTGACTTTGTCTTACAGATATAGGAATATAGGTAATTTGTTGAATTATTTGCATCAAATGTGATGGAGCCCAAACCCGAGGTATTTAGACTTAGGCCTAAGCCCCTTTACTAAAGACCCCATCTTGCTCCTCTGGCCACGGGGAGTTGCTGGGATTCCTAGAATCTGAGTATCTGGTGACTGAG